GACAGAAAAGGCTGGAGCTGCTGGTGCGGGCTGGGTCTGGGGTTGGCTGGGGCTGGGGAGGGTTCTGGAGCTGGTCCGTCCGTCCGCCCGGTCGTGTCCTGTCCGTCCTCCCGTCTCCGTCTGTCCGTCTCCGTCCGTCCGTCGATCCGCCCATCCGTGCGCTAGTCGGACAACAACGGAGAAGGAATGGAACCCGTCTGGGGCGGGGCTGGTGGCTGGCACTTTGGACGCGCACCCGCAGCGGACGGACTGACGCACTGACGGGCTGGTTGTTGAGGCTGTTTTTCCTGCCGTGTCCATCCGTCCCTACGTTCATGCGTCGGCGAGCTGGTGGCTGGGGCTTTGGACGACGAGGGAACGGGACCGATGCAGCGACGGATGCGGGCTGGGGCCGGGGCCTGGGGGCAAGGGGCGGAGCCGTGTCCGCGCATCCGTCCGTCCATCTGTCCATCCGTCCGTCCGTCGCTCTGCTGAACGTTGGATTTTTGGGTTCGGAGGAGCGGTCGAAACAATTCTGTTTCGTTAATTTTCGTTTTTGTTTTCTATGTTTGCGCGCGTGGCGACGTTTACGTGCTCGGGCGTCCGTGTGATGGTCCGCCCGTCGGAGTTTGCGGGTTTGGGTGATTTGGATATCAAGTCTGGATCGTCGAACTCAACGAAATCAAAGTTGTTTCTGGAATTGTCGTTTTTGTTTTTCGCGTCGTTTGGCTGCTCGTGCGTCCGTCCGTCCCTCCCGTCCCGATGGTACGTTCGTCCGTTTGTGGCCCATTCGTTCGTCTGCCCTCTATCGCGTCCCTACGTTTGCGAGCTCGTGCGTCCGTCCGTCCACACCGGTCCAGAGGGTCCGTCCGTCCATCCGTCGCCTGTTCGTTCGTCTGCCCGAACGAACGCGGGCGAGGTTTGCGCGGCAACGAACGCTTTAGGGCTAAGGGCCGGAGGCCCTTGTTTAAACCACAACTTGGCCAGGGCGCCAGCTGCGCTGGCGGACCCTAAACCCTAAACCCTAAACCCTAAACCCTAATAAACCCCGCTGGGGGGCTGAAGCCTTCAATTTACTTAAACCCCGCTGGGGGGCTGAAGCCTTCAATTTACTTAAACCCCGCTGGGGGGCTGACCTCTCCGCCATGAGCCGGAAGCGCTCCAGGCGCTCCCTCGCTCCCCGGGTTACTTCTTGTTTCTTCATATATATATATAGATAGGTTTATGTACAATTATGAATATGTTTATATATATATATATACAACATATATATATATATATATATGTATTTCGGTCCGCATGTTGAGGGCTTTCGAAGGCGTTGATGATGTTGAGTGTTAATGCGGGTGTTGCGGTTTTCGGCGGCGTTGAAGGTTTTGAAGGTGTTGTGGGTGTTGAAGGCTTCGAGTGTCTTGAGAGTTTTGCGGACGTTGAGGGGTGTTCGCAGTGTTGAGATTTTAGTGGTTGGGCTGATGTTCTAATGCGATTGTGTCGGAGGTTTTTGGGGGTCCTAAAGGTTTCCAAGCAATGAAGTCAAGAATCGAGACTCGGACGACACCGAACTGCAGCTCTGCAGGCAACATATAAGCACATTAGCTGATGTTCCAAACTGAAAGAGAGCTCAGGTCATAACATCGGTCAGCGCGCAACCAAAAGCCGAATCCTTTTCCTCGGCCCCAAACCCTAAATCGCACACCCTCCGGCTCTCCACTCCGAATCTTGCATCCCGCACACCGGAAGCCCTACCCCCCACAACCTTTGAAAAACCGAAAAGACCCTAAGCCCTAGGCCCTAAACCCTGAAACCTCCGTTCCGCCTCGAGACAACGCCTCAGAGGCGTTCAGCTGCCCATGCGGGTCACCGGATAGTCCGAAGAGCAAGGCACTGGCCTACACTTCGCGAGTCGATGTTCTTTGAAAGATTTAGTGAAATTTTGTCTTTAAGGGCCTAGAGGTTTAGAGTTTAGGGTCCAGGTGGGTGTTTGGCCCAGGGCTCATCGGGCTCAGCAGAATGCGATGCACGGGTTTAGGGCTTAGGGTTTAGGGTGCGAGCGCCTCGACAGCTACATCAAAGTAGGCCGGTCCGCCAAGGCTTAGGGCTTAGAGATTATTAGGACGTTGACTAACTCGATGAGAGTCTTGGGCTCTCTTGAGAGAACCAACAGGAATTTCTGTAAGGCCTGAGTACCTCAAGAGTAAAATCTCAAATAGGGAACATTGGGTGACTGAGCACTTCTAATCTGCGCCACTGGCAACGTTGCAAACATTTGAGCTGGTTTTCTGCTGATTTCGAGTCTAGAGTCGAATGCTCGAAGCGAAACAGAATTGGAAGCATTCACGAAAGCCGCGACCTTGCTGGTGAAACAGTTCTTCCTCAGACTGACTGTGGCGAAGTGTGCCGTATCATTGCAGTGAAATCGTAATCTTGTTTTAGGATATTTGAGGTATATACACGTTTAGGATTTAGGGCTTTGAAGTTTAGAGTGGCAGTAGTAATAGTCTTTGGTGTTCATGCGTGGAGTTGGGATTGAGGCATGTCTGACATCGGCAAAAGCAGAAACAGCCAGCGGCATAATACTACGGGGCGACTAGTAACTGCAGTCCTGATGGTCATGGAGAAACTGCCACAATCACACTACTGGCTCATGACGGATACGGGGAGAAGAACAATGCCAACCATGCTAACATAAAGAATACTCTACTTGAGAAACTATTCCATGCTGGTACTACATACCTTTGGAAAGAAAGCACTGGTCTCGCATCTAATCCGTCCTCATTCTGCCATCGAAGATGCTCGTGCTTGCGCCGCATAGCCAGCAACTCCTGTGTGCGCCAGGTTCTTCCATCTTTCCAGGACCCTGGTAGAGCCCCATACCTAAATGCACCCAAAAAGCTGCTAGTTCTCCCTTTCATGCCTGCTCCTTGTCGTGGAGCTGCCGCCGCTTCGTGGCAACCGCCCCAACCCCTAAATCCCTTAAGCCCTTGAAACTCTTGAAACTGAATAGGGTTTGGAAATGTTGAGCTTTTTCTGCTATCAACTTCAAGTCGGAAAACGTGCTGAAGTGCAAGTGATGCACTGACGATTAATTATGCCTTTACAGCGAGAAACGGATGCGGCTTGGGCAGAGACTTGCCACCGCCGCACCCTCTGAGCAAAAAGAAGCGCCTGACTTCCGAGCAGAAGTCCCCTTTGTCTGAAATTCATTCTTATTTCAGCCTCCTTGCGTTCGGGTGGGATGCATCTTAAGCAGAACCGCTGAAGCCGAAAAGGGACCTCCGTATCCCTGGAAAAGGCAAACGCCCGAAGCATGCGGTTCATGAGATCGCATGCTGACGAATGACTCTGTTCGCTCAAGCACCATGCCAAAAGATGTGGGGGCATCCAAATTGCCCACTGGGGCCCACTTCCGAATCCATCCCACGAGTTGCGCTAAACAAGATCAAGACTCCGTCTGAAGCTTGTTCAGGAGCCGCGGCTTGGATCGCTATCCATGCTGACCAACAGCCAGACTCTAGATGCAGTCTAAATTACTCCAGGTAGTATCTGGAAGTTTGATGTGATCACAGAATCACCGGTTGTCGCTTTAACATCCAGCACTAGAACACCGGTGCATACAAACCTTAGCTTGTGAAGTCGATGGTGTTACATGGTTCTAGCAAGCCCTTGGCCATTTTCAGGAAAAGCGGTTCGTGGAGGCTGTGAGCGTGTCTTTAACTGGATGCATCGCGTAACCCGGGCCTGGAATATCAGCGTGAGCAGTCCGTAGTGCTGCAGGGCTCAGAATCCAAGTACAACCGATTAGGGTGTCGGACCTGCGGCGAAATGTGGAAACTTCGCGCCGCATGCAACAGGAATGTATAATCGAAGCACTCTATACTTGGCTGTTCGGAGAATCGTTCGTGCGGATTGGATCAGCGAGGCATGCTGTTGAGAAGCACGAAACAATTCTTCTTCTGGGTCTCAACTTCGGCAGCCCTGCACAGACTTATTGGCAAGATTGCTGGCACTGGGGTCTGCGATTATCCGCAGAAATTTTCGAGAAGGCTCCGCCACTAAGATGTTCTTCGCCACTCAGCGTACTTTCGAGTCGTGCAAGGCTGATAATGGCATGCAAGGGGAAGAGCCTTCTGAATGTGCTTCTGCACTTTACTTCGACGAGAAAACGGATGCGGCTTGGGCAGAGACTTGCCATCGCCGCACCCTCTGAGCAAAAAGAAGCGCCTGACTTCCGAGCAGAAGTCCCCTTTGTCTGAAATTCATTCTTATTTCAGCCTCCTTGCGTTCGGGTGGGATGCATCTTAAGCAGAACCGCTGAAGCCGAAAAGGGACCTCCGTATCCCTGGAAAAGGCAAACGCCGAAGCATGCGGTTCATGAGATCGCATGCTGACGAATGACTCTGTTCGCTCAAGCACCATGCCAAAAGATGTGGGGGCATCCAAATTGCCAATGCCCACTTCCGAATCCGTCCCACGAGTTGCGGTGAACAAGATCAAGACTCCGTCTGAAACCTTGAAGACAGAGTCTTCAATCTCCGATTGAGCTCACAGGGTCTGCATGGACGCCGGATCAGCTGCGGCCCTCTCTGAACCGCACTGCCATCCGGACGGCTCACCACACATAGATTCGGCCATTAGACGGTTTGTGGCTTTGTTTGCTTTGTGGCTCGATCTTATGGATGAACAGTCTCAAAACCCTCGTAGTAGGGGGCTTGTCATGACCAGGAATGAACGGACGATCGCGTCTACCGTCGTGTGTCACTATAAACAGAACATGCATGACCCGCGTGCTTTGTGGTCCAGCCTGGCCAGATCGCCATGAGCTGTGAAGTCTCACAGCAGAGTTGAAAGAGGTGCATGCAAGACGTGGTGCTAGGCCAAATCCTGATACGCACACGATCGGAATGCAAACACGTGCAGTCCACCATTTGCTTTTCGAGTCCTAGCCCTGAGATCAACGCTATGCTTCACAGTATCAAAATCAGCCACGTCAGCATGGGAAAATCGTCGAAGTATCTATCAAATCAATACCCGACGACGACACCTGACGGTGCCTTGACCTGCCATGACGGCACGGAAAGATCGTCTGATGCCAAGCGTACCTGCGACTTCGGCATCAGGGTGGGCAGGGCTTGGAGCAAAGCATCAACAGAATCAAGGACTATCAACAGCAAGCCGACGCGCCTGAACACTGTCGTCGCCGCGGTGCAGCAGATTTTTCTCTATAAAAGTTTTGGTGACGGTGGCTTCCACCCAGCCGTTTCTGTAAAGCAGAATGGTTGAGCCCTCTTGAAAGCGCCGCCGCACGTTTTCCCGCTGGATGATGAGAGGGCCGCCCTCCATTTGAACGTGGAAGCCTTCTGGAGCCTCTTGCAGAATTCTTCCAGGCTTCCATTGCTGCCTGTCCAGCACTTGGACCTCGTCGAAGTCTTCCTCGGCTACCGGCGTGCTTGCAGATGGCGAATCATACGGGGAGTAAATCCCCATACGGAAACCCTGGGCCTTTGGCTATCGATGAACCTCCAAGCAAGTTGACCAGGTTTCGAAAGCTGGCATGAGCTGGCTGAGGGCGACTGGAAGAAACTTTCCGTCGACGAGCACTGTCGCAATCGAGCTGCCTCCTGATCCTGAAACTCCGACTTGTGACGGCCGGCATGATACACTTCAAAATGACATGCTCAACCTGACAACTATGTGCCGCTGGATCTTCAAGCTCCGAATGCCGGACAGCCCCCTGCCTGGATCGACCACACTTCCTGGTAGGAGCTTGCCATGCAGCTGAAGAAGTACCTGGGGCTGTCTGGGCCGCAACCCCAGGGCAAGTAAGTTGGATGACTTGTTGAAACCCGTTTCTTCTGTGCCGAAAAGTGCAGCTGGCTGGCAGGGTCTCCGACTCCGTACATGCCTTCCTTGGCTGCAGCGGACTGGCTAGGCCCGTCTGCAACTGGGACGACCGTGAAAGCCGTCGTGCCAATCTCATCGACACCAGCTGAACGCGGCTTGTCGTCGCCGGCCGGATCAAGGGCCTGATTTGACTGAATGGGGTGGTCCATGTAGAAAGCCACTTGGTCATGGCTGCTGGACCCTCAAGACTGACCCTGCCTCGTTATATTCTGCAACGAAAGATATTCCCATGAGGTCGCAGTTCCTTTGGAAGTTCTCCTCATCCATGAAATCGATTTCATCCTCCTCGAAAGTGATACCGGCAAGGTCGCATTCCTGCTTCGGGTCAACGGACATCTTGCCAGCGAGCATGGCGTTGTTCCCCGACACCTTCGTCATAGAGATAGAGAGAGATAGACTGTCTTGATAGACTCTTGTCAAGGATTCTCGGACCCCACACTCACAGCATCTCACAGCCTTACACTCGTCAAGGCGAGGAGCGGTCATTCGGATGCTGCCACGGCCCCTTCTGGGCAAGTTCTCTATTTGTGTCAAACTCGGCTGCTCGATGGCGACGCTGACATAGGCATCCTCTAGCCTGACCGATGGATAAACAAGACTGCATGCACTGCCTGTCAGAACTTCGGATCTGACAGCTTGCAGACGGTCTTGCTAGACTTGAGCGACGACTGGCCGGCTTCGCAGGAACGGATGGTGCTTGTCTAAAAAAGCTCGATGAAATCTTGTCAAGACCCCTTCGGTCCAAGCAAGTCCCAACCAACGCTTCAACTCTTGAAAGCCAGCCGAGCCAGAAGGATGCTACGTGTTGGCGAGAGCCGCGAACGTGTCTGGTGCCTTCGGCTATACCCTCTATACAACTTATTGCAAAGTAGAGTTTTATGTTGTGCAGCTATATGCTGTTAAGACTGCTTAGGGTGAGCCACAGTTGAGGCAGACTCGGTGAATGCAAAAGGCCAGACTCGACTTCTTCGGAGGTGCCATGGCCTGCGTTTGCGGAGGGTCTAAAGTTTTGGCTTATAGCTAAGCGTTGCCGGACTAGTTCACTTAGATAACTTACACACTCAAGCCGCGGCGATGATACCTTTTGTCGTCGCTCGGCACTACACGCTACACGTTCGCCCACTTGGGGCTCCTCAGGCTGTGCCTCGAGACTACAAGGCTTAGAAGTTATCGCGCATCAAGCTACAAGCCGTAGCATGAGAATGCAACACTCCAGACCAATCGTAGTGCATAGGTTTTGAAAAAACCTATGCGCAACTGCAACCTGGATCTGAATATAAGGTTGAATGCATTGGCAGGCAGGCAGCTTCTTCCCACGACGGAAGAGGGGAATCGCTCCATCGAAGCCGTGTTCTATGAAGGATTGCCCAGGAAGCACAGCATTGCCCAGCAGTCGCCTCGGTGGGGGCGCAGATGCAGTCGTTATGTCGCGCTGTCGGACCACTTCTGCTTGCATCTGTGGTCTGGATCACAGGTGGCTACAACGCCCGAGCAGTCTGTGACTTACCAGGCGCGTCAAAGGCACACTGAATGGGACTCGGACTTGACGAAGACAGACGCAAGGATGGCATGCTGTTCCATGACGCCGTCCAGGGAGATCGTTCCATTGCTGCTCTCCCCATGCTGCAATCCGTTCGAAAATGCGGCGGTTTCCTCGGACTCACTACCAGGAACACCGGCGTAAACACACTGATCCCAAGCTTGGCTTGGCAGGTTCGGAGCCTTCCTTAATAACGGACAAAGCGTCTGGGTGGCCCGCAATCTCCCAGCGCGCGAAGATTTCGGACTGGTCGCGTTCCAGCCATTTGAGGAGAGTACGGCCTGCCGGAGACAGCGGGAACTCGTCAAACTCTTCATCCCGAGAACAATTCTTACAGCATCTTTAAGTCTCTTTGAGCTGAAGTCCCGTTCCTGCCCTTTCGGGCGCAGTGCATACAGGTTCAAACAATTTAGACTTTCAACTTTCGGGGCAGGGTGGTGGACCAAAGACTTCAGACGGTGTGGAATTTGCTTTGGGGCATCTTCACGTACGAGGCTAGAGACTGTAAACATGCGTCTGCAGCCTTTCCCGTTTCGGGGCTTCCTGTTGGGGATAAGATGACAATGATCAAGTGGACCAACCGCGCCCAATATGACGAGACAATTTCGTTAGGATGTTCGTTGCACTTCCGAAGGCCCTGGCAGGCCTGATACCGCCATCTTGCGCAAGCTGACCTGGGCTCTTGGGCTTGCCACGCGGTTCCAGATCCTGCCCTGGCTCTAGACGAGGAGACCAAACCGTCACAGGCAACTTAATCGCTCGACTTGTCGCCCCATGGTGTGACGTTGCCGGAGAGTCAACAAGCTCATGTCAATTAAGGTCATGCCCATGGTTCGGGTTCGGGTTACCGCTTGATCACGGTTCAAGGTGGCACGCATCAGTGAAAGTTGAAACACCCGGTACAAGATGGCCTGCTAAGGTGCGACAAGTGGCAAAAGGCACGACAATTAATGTAAAGCACCATCGACACACGAGTCACAAATCACATGTCCGGAAAGTGCGTATTCGAGCGAGGCATGATGTACCTGTCTTGGTGATGTGCACGCGCTTGCAATATGCGAACCCCAGACTATCAGAAAAAGACTGGCTACACGAGCTTACCTCAACTACACCTGGGTTTTGGTACGGTTGTACTGAAACATACCCGAGCAGACGCCACAACAGACCGAAACACTCTCTCTCATGGCTTCGCTTTTCAGTCTGCCTTGTAGCGGTGGTCGTCCAAAGGCTGGAAAGGAAGGTGTTCATCCAGGTCCTTGGCTGTGCTTGACAGATCCGGAGGAAGGGATTCCGAGAGCGATTGTCGGATCCAATCGCTCTAGTTTCGCATGAGGGGGTTGGCAATCTCTTATTCTGTGACGAGAAGGACTTGTCAACTTGAAGACCCCAATCCAGGTCTGGATCGACGGCGGTGGCTTTGAGGACCAGCAGCACTCCAACAGCCTGAGCCGAGGCGAAATGAAACCACTTGAGGACCGCAGGTGCCCTCCTGCTGGACTGCAACGATGGGCCAATGTTATCTTGATTGGGGATTTTGGCTAACACGAATTGCCGAGAACAAGCTGGCTCTCTGGGGCTCCTGCGATTGCAATGGGAGACCTTGGCACTGTCAGGTCGCGCAGCTTCTTTTTGGTATGCTTAGCCGTTGAAGGGGCAGTGCCAGCCTCAAGCATCTATAGGTCGAGAATCCGACATGCAAAACTGCTTGTCACAACAGCTGAGAGTTGGGGTTTGCCGACCCAACCTTGCGATATAAACCCACATTCCACAGGACTTGCCATCAAGAGAGAAGAGCGCGTGCAATTAAAGGCGAGGTGGAATAGAACGAATAGCCAACAACACCAACGCCAGTGAAATTGAGGGTGCAGTGCCGAAGAGCTCATTCAGAAAAGAGCAAACTCTTGTCTACCCGGTCAGCGACATCTGATGTGCATGCGTCCTGTTCAGGGAATGACGGATGTCAACACACATCTTCGCAGCAGCTGTAAAAAAGCAGTGAGGGGCCACGGCTTGAGCGACCTGTTACACAGTAAAGGTGCTTTGCAGACCTTTGGCATTCGCCACGGAGATTCCTGGTTTAGGGGTGCAATTTCTGGGAATCCAGCCTTAACTTACAACGACAGAGGTTCACCCAGAACTCCAGCTCCTTCTCGTTTGCCGGCTTTCACAGCAGCCAAGCGCTGAAATGAGTGGGGTGGACTTGCTCTAGTTCCAGAACCAGCTGCTCATGAGCCATGGAAATAATTGCAAGTACAGGTGAGGTCATCGCAATCCCGTGCAGTGGCGATTGCCACCAATGAAGCCCTGCAAGCTGAGATGTTCCACGAATACTTAGAGCTTTGAGGGAAGCATCTTCGCAGCGCATGGGAGACGCAAAACAAGTTGTTAGAGAAGTTCAAACGGCTTGATGAATCAGGTGCTATGCACTCACACTTCGAAGCAGAAGCCGACTTCAAATGGCAGTTCACAAAACTGTATTTGGCCAAGGCCCCGCCAACTGCAGCTGATGATGTGAGTGATGGACAGCTTTCAGTGATTGACTCATGGGCAGCTATGAGGGCACGTCGTGCAGAAGATTGTTTCCAGCTCGCTATGCAACAGCAAGACGGTGCATCAAATTCTGAGATGAGTTGATTGCAAGCTCGGCTTTGCAGCAACTTCTTGCCGACACAGTATGTTGAAAGTTTGCTGTGCGTGGAAAGACCAAGAGTCAGAGTGCAATAAAGAATGTCCAAAAACAGAAAGCAACAACAAAAGCGCGAGCAAGCTCTTCCAGAAAAATGGGAAGAAATGGATGTGAAGGATGTCTTGTCTCCAGCATGTTTAAGCTCAGGCAACTGGATGTGAGGCAGAAAAGGCCTACCAAAATCAAGACATATGAGGAACTTTAAGTTGAAAAACGTCCCAGCTTTGAGCTCCAGTCATTCCCAAGTGACACCACATAAAGTGGAGCGCACTCCGAAAGGGCGTTCAAGGAAGCCAAGATCGCCATCCCCAGCGTCAAGTACCACGTTCGATTCTGAAGTCACATGCCAGGTCTCCGAGATCGTGAAGTTGGCAGATCAATATGCAACGTTCCAAAGGCTAGGTACAGATCGCAGAGGCTGCTTCTCTATGTCGGATGGGGGCAGAGGCTGGTTCTTGCACCGATGTTTTGGTGCAGTATTTCCTTACCTCAGGCGCTCTTCGAAAGCTGAGGTATTCCTCCTTCGCAGCAATTTTGATCGGGCAACTGCCGGCACATTCCCCATCCTGGTCAAAGCAGACAAAGACCGGCGTGGGTCTGGTCCTATGCCAGCCTCATGTTAAAAACGGGGTTTTCAAAGACCCGATTGTTTCCAGACTTATTGGCAACATGCGTCAGTGTTGGTTCATCCGCTTTCTGCCTTCTTAGTTTGCAAGTTAGTTCCATTGGTTTCGCCTCTAGCTTCGGCTATCAATCAGTCGCCCACGCATAATGTCCCTGGCTGCAGTCTTCCTGAGACAGCACGTTAAACGGCAGAGCTTGTGCGTTCCTCATTCGAGCACTGAGCTCGCCCTTGATGCATGTGTTGTCTCGATCGGTCTTGTGACGGGATTCCGACGGGTTTATCGGTTGCCAGCACCCTTGCAAACATCTATGCTCGGCATCTCGACGGTTTCTTGGCGCAGCAGCGTGGTGAGCAACTCCGAATGATACGATGATCTGCTTCTTTTGTGGTCTGGCGATGTGAACAAGTTGGTTCGGATAGCTTTGTCTTGGCGTGATTCATTACGCTTCGAGCTCTCAGGCGTTGGTGATCATTTCCTGGACGTCGCGCTCAGCATCATGCCTGACAGAAGGATTCATTTGAGAGTTGTATCACAAGGAGCAGAATCTTTACGTTTACGTTCCTGCACAAAGCAACCATCCCAGCAGTATTTGCAGGAGTCTGCAGATCGGTGAAGCTTTACAGTGCCAAAAGTGGAATCGCGTGAGAACTAATGCTTCGGCAAGTATGAAGTTTTTCTACCGTCGCTTGAAGGATCGAGACTTGGATATGAAGAAGTTCGATGACGCCATCGCGAAGTTTCAGAACACGAAAACGAGCTATCGTTGTTTGGCAAGTCCATCTCAAAGTGCATTACGATCGAGATGTTTACGGCTTTTTGGATTGCGAGCACGCTGCGCACATTGTATTCCAGATGAGGTTGACACGTTGGACTGTTCGCCGAAACCCTTTTAAACGTAGATACCAGGTAACCTGGAAGTTTTTCAATCAAAGGCGTGGTTGAGGGAGGGACTGTAAACTTTTTACCCTGTCAGCGTCATCTGATGTGCATGCGTCCAGTTCAGTATTTAATGTGACGGATATCAGCACACGTCTTCGCAGCATTTTACGGCTGTCAAGCCCTCACGAGTCCCCGACGAAAGCTTGGCACCCCGGCTTGAGCGACCTGTTAAGAAGTGCGAGTGGTGCTTAGCCGTTGAAGAGGCAGTGCCAGCCTCAAGCATCCATAGGTCTACAACCGACCTGCAAAACTGCTTGTCACAACAGTTGAGAGTTTGGTTTTGCTGACTCAATCTTGCGCCCGGATCCCCACCTTGCACAGAACTTGCCATCAAGAGACAGGAAAATGCGCAATGTGCAATTAAAGGCGACGTGGAATAGAACGAATAGCCAACAACGCCAACGCCATTGAAATTGAGGGGCAGTCCTGCAGTGCTTATTTAGAAAAAAACGAGACTACTGACGATTAGGGCGGAGTGCCACTGCAGGTGGAGCGCTTTTCAGTACAGAAAGAAAACAACTATGACAGCAAAGACTCCTAATAAAATGAGCGCAGGACCATGGCAGGAGCAAGATGCACCAAAAAAGAGAGCGCAAAAGCACAGGATTTTACAAGGAATTCGGCATCCTGTCTGCGTGAGGCCGGTGAGGGACCGCGCCAGGAGTCCGATTTCATCGGCACCAGGAAGCTTGAACGCAAAACGTAAGGTTGGCCTATCCCAAGACCCTCTGTTTAACAGAGAAGATGCACAAACTTACGTTTGGGTGGCTCTTGGGTCTCTGACTTTCAGCGAAGATGTGCACAGCGCCCCAGCTGAAGCTGCGAAAGTGAAGCACGTGACACGCGCGACTGAAGCACAAGGCAACCAAGTCCGTCTACGCCTAACTGAAAACCTTAGTGTGGCCGTTCTGTTCGGGGAGAGCGAACTGGCAACTTGTAACAGGATGACTGGCGCGAGGCGATGAATGAAACCAACGACTCGAAGTCTTCAACTTTTCAACACAATTTAACATGCAGAAACAACAGCTCACCGGATGATGTTGACGAAATCGGTGTACAGAACTACGTGCTGGGTTGAGCATGCAGGAAGACTGTCTAAGGACTCTTTCGGACCCTATCCGTATTTTTGCAGACAGTGAGCGGAGCCCTGCAACAAACAGCCACAAGAGATGTCACCAAACGCCTTGGCAAATTCCTTTCTTGGGAATCTTGGTGTTTCGGTGTTCGGGCAGCTGCACGAGCAGATGATGGCCGCCCTCAAAGGTACAGCGTACCTGAG